TCCATATCAATAACCGTCCAGTATCAGGTTGTAGACTGAATCTGGACTCATCGGTGAAGAGAACATTAGCCCATTGAAACTGTGTCCAATTCTGATGTTGTCTTAATTTTGTCCACCAGTGTATTATGTCATGTTTCATCACGCAAATCAACTTGTCAAAAATATGTTTTTAAATCTATAAATAATTATGTGAGGTAAGAATGATCTTTAAATTCTTTTACAATTTAAAACTTACTTAATTAATCTATAAATCTATAAAAATGCAATTTTCATTTAAGTGCTGAAGAAAAAAAACAAAAAATAAATTACTGTATTGGATAATATTTATCCATCAATTTTGTTTCTAAATACATTTTCATTACATGAACCAACGTAACCAATGAGATATACACTCTGAGGGTGCGTTAGTCCACTGTTCAGTTTTTATTTCTTTTTTAATAAAAAATGGTGAGAAATAAGTAAGTTATCTTGTAGGGAAAAAAATCACACTAAGCAGATAAGAGATAATTCCCCTATTTGACTGTTTATTGTTGAGTTGTTTATTCTTTGTTGTTGAGATAATTCCCTTATTTAAGGAGATAATTCTCCTATTTGACTGTTATAGCAGCAAATTTTTTGTGAGGGAACGCTAAACATTCCAACATTTTGTGTGCATACATACACTTCTAGAACATAACATTCAAAAGTACACTATAAACTTTTGTATTAACTGCATATGGTTTAAAAACTACTTTAAAGTTAGTTTTTCCACATTTATTTAAATTCAGAGAATAATTTAATGCTAAAAAAAGAAAAACAAAACAAAACAATTATGGCAAAATAAAAACATTATACAAATTCATTTAATTGCAAAACCAGTGAGGGAGACAACATTCCAGAGCGCACTCTCATCTCTACACCTTTACGTTTTTTTTAAAAGGGAAATATCAACACACTTAATTTAGAGAGCCGTGGTGGCTCAGGGGATAGATCGTTCGCCTTCTAATGAGGTGAACTGGGTTCGAATCTCAGCGATGGCTGTTCGATACGATTTCAGCGCCCGGCTTGTACCGACACAGTGCTGACGTAAAATATCCTCAGTGGTAGACGGATCATGGGTTAGAGTCCTCTTGCCGTTGGGCTAACCGTGAGAGGTTTTCCTCTCCATGTAACGCAAATGCGGGTTAGCTCCAACAAAAAAGTTCATCATGAAGGCTAGTTTGATCCTGGAGTTCTCGCGTCTTCTGGATTGGGTTCGAGATTACAAGGCTATCGAGTTGAACATTGGTAGTCGTAAAAGCAAAATTGGGTCGACTGTTCAACGATGGTTATAAATATAAAATATAATTTATAATAGAACAGTATCAGCAAGTTTAATTTAGAAATTATATTATCATTTGAATTTCTTCAATGTGTCATTATTTTAAATTTTTATTAAAAAAAATAAAATAAAAAAATAAACCCGAATCAAAGTTCTCGAATTGGGTTGAGAGATTTGCCTTTTTTATAAAAATATAAGATTAATCAAATCTAAAGTTTAGTCACCGAATATAAAAGAAAATGAAAATTCTTTTAAACTGATGCTTGCTTAATGTGTGCTTAAAATGACTTAATCCAAATTTTAAGTTAAAAATCTATTTAACTAGTTATTATCTTAAATATGTTAGTATCTAGTCTAATTGACTGAAAATTTGTGACGTTTGATTCCCAGTGAATTTTTGAAGGAAAAAAAAAAAAATCGACTTTTTAAAGGCATTTCAGTTTGACATTAGACATTTCTTAGTCAGGCTTTCATTATATGTGTTTTATAATAGTGTTAAAACTAGATTTTCACACTATTTGAGAATTGAATTTTTATTCCTTTTTTTCTTTGTATTTTTAGCAAAATTTTAGAGTATATATTTCTGCGAAAAATGACAATTTCCTATCAGAATTGCCCAATTTTCTTAACTTAATAGCAAAAAAAAAAAAAAAAAAAAAAAAAAAAAAAAAAAAAAAAAAAAAAGACAAATTTATAATAAAGTATATGGTATTTTATAATCGTTCGTCGAACAGTTGACCCAATTTTGGGTTTACGACTACAAATGTTCAATTTTGTAGCCTTGTAATTTTGAACCCAAACCAGAAGACAAGGGAACTCCTGAATTAAGTATTGGGAGAAATTTTGCCTTAATGGAGGACATTTTGATGTAACTAACCTGCATTTGCGTTACATGGAGAGGAAGATCACGAGTACCTCCCACGGTTAGCCTGGCGGCAAGGGGACTAACCCACGACTCGCCTACCACTGAGCATATTTTTACATCAGCACTGGTCAAAAATCAACAAATATCCAACATTACCTTACAAGTTATTTAGAATCATTTTTAACTTAGGTTGTGAGTAAAAAAAAAAATCAGCCAAATGAACAAAATTACTATACAGCAAGTTGGTGATTCTACAAAAATCTAACAATGTCATGTTCAAACAATATATCGCAAGATTAGCATCAGATATAAAGTTTGTAACTTTTTTTTCACTATTTAAGACAAAATTTTTCAATGCATATAAAAAAGATTATTCATTTATAATAACCTAAAAAAATTTAAAATTATCTAAATGTGATTCTCCTGGCCTGTCAGAAACTTTCCTTCAACTTAAGTAATTTATTTAAAATTTTTACATTAACATTTCTATATGTAAACTGTGCATGTTTGAAGGTGTAAAACAATAATTTTTGAAACGGTTTAATCATTTAAATCACCAAGTTGTACAATTTAAAAGTTTGTCCTAAGGTTTTCATGTCACTTTCCGGGCGCAAGAGAGAGAATTTTTAGTCTTGTCAACCCTGTTTATTCCCCCCCCCCTATTCTGTTGGATTGATAAAGCGATTTGAAGAACAGATTCACCTGACGTTCTTATCATAGATTTGAAGTTCTAAACTTAGATATATAACAGTTTCTATTGTCACTCAATTGTACATTTCCATTATACGGGAAAATAATCTTTTTAAAAAATAATGTATGTTATTATGTAAAATAATGTTATCATTAGAGTAAAAGAACTTTCTTAAACCTAAATCATTTTCTCTTTAGAACTTTGCAGGAAAAATGATTAAAAAAAAAATAATAAAATAAAAATTCACATTTTTGGTATACGAAAAAAATCACCTTCTTGGCATTTTCAGAACCAGAAGATGGTTAACCGTTTTACTTTTCTCGCATTAAGTGCCTTATGAAAGAAATAATTTTTCAGATCTTTTTTTAAAGCGCTTTTAATTTTTAAGAATTTGTGATTTGGAAATTTCAAGTTTTTTATGAATCATACAAATATTATTATATTTAAGAAACATTTTGAAGCAAAAAATTGTTGTAAGGACGTTTTTAAAAAAATTTACATTTTTGATTAAAAATTAAAAAAAAAAAAAAAAAAACAGTGGCATTTATATTTAGAAATCTTATATTTAGAAGTACAAAAGATGTGAAATTTATTTTGAATCTCATTGGCTGTTGATTGTTACAGCGATTATTAAGCTAATCTATTTTTTCTTCTTCTAATGTTTGTAGCAAGATTTGGAAGAAAATTTAATATTACCTGACTTTTTCTGTCTAAATTTAGTTATTTGACAATTCAAGGTTTTCTCTGACCAATGGAAACCACGTGAAAAAGATTTTCATACATATTTCGATTTTCTGTAGCAGCTTTCTCAAAACTGCTGTTTTTACCCTTTGATTTCGGTATTTCAATTTTCTTAAACATTCTAAAATATTAATTATCACTTGTCTCATTAGTTCATTTTTCTGTTCATTGGAAAGGTCAACTGGTTTCATATTATAATTCATTTTGTTTATTTATAATGGAATTCTCAGCATTTTTTTAAAAAATTCATTCAAAAACATTTCTTTTATAGTGAGGAAGTTCAATAGGGCTTGGGGACAATTGACCATGTCCTTTTTTCTATGAGTCTGGCCTTGCCTGTGAGTAGCAATTTCATTCTTGAGTGCGTTACTGACAAAATTACTACATTTCTCATCTATTAAAGTTCCAACTTATACTTTTATTACTATATTCCAACTTAAACATTTATGACTATATTCCAACTTATACATTTATAATTATATTCTTATTTGAGCCCTGATGGCTCAGGGGATAGAGCGTTCGAATTCCAATGAAGTGAACTGGGTTCGAATCCCAGCGATGGTTGGTGGATATGAATTCTGCATCCGGCTCGCACAGCTCACAGTGCTGATGTAAAATATCCTCAGTGGTAGACGGATCATGAGTTAGAGTCCCCCTTCCGTCAGGCTAACCGCGAGGTTTTCCTTTCCATGTAACGCAAATGCGGGTTAGTTTAATCAAAAAGTCCTCCGAAGGCGAATTTCTCCCAATACTTGGTCCAAGAGTCCCTTTGTCTTCTGGATTGGGTTCAAAATTACAAGGCTACTGAGTTGAAGATTAGTAGCCGTAAACTCAAAATTACGTAAGTTACAACGATGGTTAAAAAATAAAATATATTCTTAATTGACCATAATCTGTCGAATGATGAATTAATATTAAATACCAACTTAATATTATGGTATTTCTTTAAAAAAATAAATAAATTTATTTATTTAACGACACCAAAGCTAAGCAATATTATTTTAAAATAAAATATTGTACATAGATTGTTTAAAAAAAAACTAAGAAGACGGAAATAATGCACAGGGATTTCAATAAATATTGAGAAAAGAAAAAAAAAAGTTACACTGTTTCAATATTAAAATAAATGCTTTACAACATTTCCTTTCCTTAATTAAATATAGATCGTGATAAACGTTTATTTTAATACGAAACACACATAAATTTTAATGAAATAAATGCCAGAAGAGACGGGAAAAAAGACATAAAAATAGATAAAGCCCGGACATCCGGGAAATGAAATAAAAATACCATCAATAAACACGAAACAGGAGACCTACTCGATCTCCTGATCGAGTCGTGCAGCACACATTTTGAAAATAAACAAAAATAAATAAAAACAAAACACGTGCGAAACTACTTACATGAGATATTTTCACTGTATAGCACTTCGAATTCCTTTTCTATTTGACTAAAGAGATCATACAATCGTCCCCTGCAATGCAAAGATTCAAGGAGAATTGAGAGTCTATCCGACATGAGGCACTAAATTATTATCTATACACAAACAATATTATTTCAGCTTTCAACGATGGAATAAAAAAAAATAACATGCAAGCTTGGCCGCGGCAGGGTCGTCAATGTGAAGCGCGCGGCCAACAGGTATCTAGAGAAGTGAGTTTGAATGGAGTAAGCATGCGCAGGGTAGATGGAGTGCACAACAACGTGGTCCGGGTTTGTTTTGAAACTGAAGATTAATTGGAACAGGTTCTCGCTCCCTCTGATTTTCGCTTTCACTCATTATGAGAGGCCAAAATGGCATAGGAAAATAGTCTCTCAATTGTTTTCATGTTAGGAAGTTGCCATTTCGAAAAATAATGTTCGCATATTCGTTTACAATTATTCTTATAATGACAAAAAAAGTTATCGTTTTCACTTCTCGTATTAAAATTTTCGCAATATTATTATTTAGAGTTTTATATATAATAATAATAATAAAAAAATATCGTTTTCATGTCACCTAGTATATTTTTTTCAACATCTTTAATCATAACTTCATAATTAAAAAAATGTTTTTAGTGTATCGTTTTCAACTTGTTTTATGCATGGAAAAATTATGAAATTTTATGGTTGAAAAAACAAATAGATCTTATACTTGTTTATTTGCTTATCCGTTTTATTTCTCATATCGTTTTGGGTGTTTTTATTTACAATCACATGAATACTGAAAAAAAAATTATTGTTTTCTTCTATCACTTTTTAATTTTTTTAAGATACTTAGTTATAATTTTATACATAATGAAAAATATTTATCGTTTTTATTTTTCATACTCTAATTATTTCAGTATTTTAATAAGTAATTATTCCAGCATTTCTTTCTTCTTATTAATAAAATAGAAAATGGAGGAAAGTTGTTTATTTTTGGATTTCAAGTTATAATTTTTCTAACATTTATTTTTGGAAAAAATATAACGAGCTTACATGGTAGGGGAAACATTTTAGCGTTCTTATCTGTCCTGTTACCGTTTTTAAGTATTCTCAATATTAATTTGTAATTAAACATTACTACCAAAAACGAAGAGTGTAAAATATAATAAACAAAATATTCCAGAATTTCCATTTATAATTATTTGCAGAGTGGGAGAAAATTAGTCGTATTAATTTTCATAATTTTTCAAATTTCTTTTACAAAAAATAATTTATAATACTAAAAAAATGACAACAAATTCCTTTTAACTTCTTATATCATAAGTATCAATAAAAGTTGGAAAAACTCTTCAATTAAACATGCTAATTAAAAATGAAATAAATAAATAAACTTAATAACAATGTTAAGATAAAATGTAACATAAGTCAGAATTCAAAATAATAGTGCTTTTATAATAATAATAATAATTATTATTTTCGTTGATAATAATAATAAATAACTTTTTCTTCTAAATAATTCATAAAAAAAAGTTTTTAAAGTTAAATAATAACTAAAATCGATTCTGAAGCTACCCCTTTTTTCTTGAATAAATGGTAAGTCTAAAATTCTATGCTTAATTTAGAGGGAAGTAGCTTGATATACCCAAGAGGGAATACTAAAGTATATTGATATACCCTAGTGGGAGTACAAGTTGTGCATTTTAAATTATTAATTTAAAAAGCTGTTTTAACAAAATAAATAAATGAAATTCATAAGAAACTTACAAGCAGATGAGTATAAAATTTACAAATTCTAAAAAGGTTTCGAAAGATGATACTTAACAATCAAACAAAACAAATTAATGGCAGGTTTTTGTGCATATATTTAGGATATTAAAATTATTTTCGTTGAAAACCTGTTAACTTTTGAATACTTAACTTTTTTTAAAATTAAGATTGTAGTATTCTAATAATATAGGATAGGAATTCTACATTGATATTTTTTTTTATTTTTCATAAGAAATGCGGTAAAATTACTTTTCAAATTTGGCACAACTTAAAAACTATTGCTGTAAAATAATTGTTTTTCTGAAATGTGTTTTTATTTTATTCCAGAACAAAAGTTTAAATCAGTAAATAGAAAAACGATTATAAAAATTCGCTATTTATCTAATAATTTGCTTAAAAAAATGTGCAGTCTTTGATGTTAAATTTTAAAGGAAAAAAAAAGTTTAGGTAACAAATTATTATAGATTGCTGATATGATTATTGTAGATATGAAAAATATATTAAAAGTATGAAAGCTACTTTTATTATATGGCGCAAATTTGGCACAACTTAAAAACTATTGCTGTAAAAGAATTTTTTCCCAGAGTTTGCTTTTATTTTATTCCAGAACAAAAATTTAAATCAGTAAATAAAAAAACGATTATAAAGATTCGTTGTTTATCTAATCATTTGCTTAAAAAAATGTGCTGTCTTTGAAGTTAAATTTTAAAGGAAAAAAAAAGTTTAGGTAACAAATTATTATAAATTGCTGATATGATGATATGAAAAATATATTAAAAGTATGAAAGCTACCTTTAATATATTTTTCATAGAAAAAAAGAAAACAGAATTTTACCATATTTCTCATAAAATAAATGAAAACTGAATTTTCATACAATTAATATTAAGAAGACCACAATTTCAACAGCGATATGGCAAGAATGCATTGGCAATTTATAATCAAAGTAGAGTGGAATTCGAGATTCGCCTAACATTAGGAAATCGCTCAACATGCTTTTAAATGCAATACCTTTATTTGTGCCGTGTTAATTAGCAAGGTACATACCTTGCGAAACCGAAACAACGGGGAAATATAATTGAGAACTGGTTAGACGATATGCGTTGACGCAACAGTCAGATATGATGCCCATGACATCCTAGAACTGTTCGATTAAAGATCAATGCATTTTAATTACAACATCATGGCGAAAAAAAATTATTTCACTGAATGTTTTAGATTTTGTTTAGAATATTATTTGTTATCCTTTGTTTCAAAGTTAAAACAACGTTAAGCATAAATAGTTAAGTTAATTTAACTGATAATTTTGGAATAAAATAAGTAGGAGAGACTGTTATATCTAGGATCAATTTTAACTTTTTATGCTTATAATTTAAAAATACCAATACATTTTGTACGTAATACTTTTTGAGGACAAATTCTGACATGCACTTAAGAATTTTTTTTTAAGTAAGAAAAATTGGTTTAAAGTACAATACTTTGTACCTTAGTCGGTGTACTTTGGACCAATAGATGGTAATTCCTTGAAAAACAAACATTTAGAGCTTTTTTCATGCAAACTTGTTAATTCATTGAATTCGGATATTTACGCAATTAAAACTTAGTTTTCAACCAAGCTAAAATAAATCAGATTAATACTAAGAAATATTTTATTTAAATATTTCAAACATTTATACATACCTTAGACCGGTTCAAGGTACTATACTGAAATTGATTCAATTTACAAAAACATTACTTTTTTTTTCATTAGGCCTAACAAAAATAATTATTTTAATAAAAAAATAATTTTCAAGAAAAAAAATTTTTGTTCTTAATTTTAAAGAGAATGACGATTTGGTACTTAATATACCTTTATGGGGTTAGTTTTATAGGGTTTTAATTTTAAACCGACCTGGTTAAAAAAAGAGATACTCAGCAGTTATAGAGAGAAAAAAACATTATCTAGCACATGCCTGAAAAACCAGATATTAATTCCTGTTGTTAAGAGTACCAACTATATATACTATATTGAATGCGAGCAGTGATGACTGAGGGGGATAAAGTGTTCGCCTTCCAACGAGGTGACCGGGTTCGAATCCCAGCGATGGCTGGTTGATGTCGCAGTGCTAACTACAGTGCTGACGTAAAATATTCTCAGTGCTAGACGGATCATGGGTTAGAGTTCCCTTGCCGTCAGGTTAACCGTGGGAGGTCTTCCCTTCCATTTAACACAAATGCGGGTTAGTTCCACCAAAAAAAGTCCTCAACAAAGGCAAATTTCTCCCTGGTCCAGGAGTTCCCTCGTCTTCTGGATTGGGTTCAAAATTACAAGACTACGGAGTTCAACATTAGCAATCGTAAACCCAAAAATTGGGTCGGCTGTTCAACGACGGTCATAAATATAAATATATTGATATATATTCAGGGGTGCAAATGCTGATACTGGTCTAAGGTATATGCGGTCTAAGATAAGAACACTCTTCCCCATCGTAGAAATAAAATTATTCCTAACCAAAAGTTTAGGCTTTGCTCTTTTTACAGGAAGAAACATTTTTTTCCCCCAATGCCCACCTGGATAATGACCTAGGTCATACAGGCACCTGAAGGGCAGATTTGTTGGACACTCTTTCAGTGGCACCATATTAGGTGGGCCAACGTTTCTCCCACAGTAAGGACAGATTGTACAGAGAAGGAAAGAACATCAATGCCTTGCTCGGGATTCGAACTCAGAACCTTTCTGATGCAAGGGCAGTTCCCTAATCCCTACACAGGCCGGTCAGCACAGGAACAAACATATAACGGAATAAAGGGACTGTGATGGGCGCAAAGCGATCTTTGTAAGAGTTTTTTAGACAAGTTTGATATTTGCATTAGGAAATAGGTTTCTTTTACAAACCACAAATGAAAAAAATGCGTATGATGTTAAAAAATATTATGATTAAAAAGTTACTTAACAAATTTAACCACTAAAACTGGCATGAAAAAACGGGCATATATGTGCTTTTTCACATAATTGGGTTTAACGTTATTAAAAAAGTTTTTTGAGTAATGAAAGAAAAAATACGTGGAAAATCTTTAAAAAATACTATTAAGAAACATTTTTTTATTCTTAAATATAAAATATAGCTCCCACAAGCAGCAGAGCAAAATATTTTGTCATTTGACAATCTTTGGCAACTTGATGCGAAAAATGCTTATTTAGGTGAGAACTGTTTTTCAATGTCAAGAACAAAATTAGGATGCTGGAAAGAGAAGATAATAATAAGTAGGGGAAGAAAAAACCTAAATGTTACTTTTCGGGCTATTTATTTGTGTAAGGGGCTAAAATTGAAATTTTTTTTCTTTTTTTTTGTGCACAACATCTTTAAAGGTTGCATTTATGCCTTTCATTAGCAGGGCAAGCATGCAACCCCTCAAAAAAATGGCAGTTTTTAACCTGTTCGTCCTGAGAAAAAAGGACGAATATATTTTTAGTATTAGAATATATTTTATATTAATACCGGTACAAGTCCGCGGATCAAATAGTACTGGACTGCTCTAGGTACATTAAATTATTTCCATTTTGCTTACCGTGGTGTATTTCTCTCGGGTTTGTGCGAACTTCTATGGGCGAGAG